CTTTTTTACAGTAATACTTCAGGATAGGGAACACTAAAAAGGTATATTTGTTAAGCTTCATTAACAAGAGGAACTAGGCTTTGTAACTACAGTTTACCCAAATTTATTCTTTTTCTTTAGAAAATAAACTTTATTTAATAGTTTCAACCCATTGGATCCTGTTGTGCCACGTGGATTATAGGGCCGAAAATATGCGCAGTGGGTTACAAAAGTGGCCAATATCCCAGGCGTGTGGTGAGGAGAGGCTGCTCACAAGTATTTGTACGCACCGCTTATGAGCAGTGACAAGATCCTATGCCCCTTGCAAAGTTATTTTGCTTAAACTTATTATTTTTTTTATTTTATTTTTATTTTTTTGCCATTTTGCAGTGTCCGTTTGTCTTTCGATATGCTTCATCCAAATGGTAATAGATTATTTGCCATGCAGACTCCATCATTTCTCTATGTAGTAAATTATTCAATGCAAGAAAAAGAAGAAAAAAAGTAACATTTGTGTTTTTGTGTCATTTTTTTTTTTTTTTCTTTCTTTTTTGTGATTTTCGATTTTCCGTAATATAACCTACACTGCTGGTCACAGCAGGTAGGAATATAATGCTGAGCATGGAAAAGGCATTCTCCTTGGAGCCAGGGATCTTCTAGTCACGGCTTACACATATTACAATCCACATTCATTTATAGATTGGAATAATGCAAAAGCCCCCTTCTGAGTGTTGAAGGAGTCTAATCACACTCCAAGAGGTTTGTGCACTTGTGGCGAGTCTTTTCCGTCACCCAGGCCTTTGCTTATGACATCAAGTTTTTGTTACCCGGCCCACGGCCATTTTCTCCAATGACGGCATGTTCACATCACCCAGCCCTCGACCCATATTTTTCCATGATGGGATAGTCACGTCACACAGATCATAAGGGTTAACTCCTTAGATAAAAGGTGTTTATATAGCTATCCAAATAAATAAGAAAAATTGCTTCTCTTTTCAGGTAAAGCCAACCACAGTGCAGGTCAACTTATCCTCCTGTTGCGTAGTGCCACAAGAGTTAACAACATTTGCTCAGAAACATGACATCCAGGTCTTAACACACAATGATCCAGCCGGTAAGTATTACCTCTGTAGTTAAAGAGGTATGCGAAAACCCATAGTTGATGAGGTTATTGTGACAAAGTTGGCAAAAGGTGTGGTTAAGATTGATTTTCCTTGTGATGATATAATTAGAATATGTCCCATACTTTGCATTGCAAAATGATGGTTTCTCAATCATACTGGTTTTCTTGTACCTAAAATTCATTAAGTAATGTAAGTGATTGGCAATAGTATAATGGGGTTAGAATTTTTCTTGGCAAAAGCTGATTTAGTTAACAATCCAGTCGTGCAATTTTACTCTGGTCATTTTCTTCCCGTGGCAGAAATTGTGGACGAGGAGGTGGTATCAACCATCACCAGCCGCCTGGGTTTATCTGGGGTCCAGTGCCAAGTGGAGTGGGTGGCAAGGCACCGAACAATCCAGCAGTGTTTCGGCTTGATACAAGACAAGGGCTACACGCTTGCCCTTGCCTGTGATGGTTAGGTTAGCGGTCTGGCTCAGGTGACGCCTGTAGTCCAACAAGATTCAAGTTACAACCACGTTAAATGATGTTGTTATGAAGCTCGAGTGTAGGGAATGAAATATGCATGAGATACTATATACATTCTGTTCTTGAACTACATTAGCAACAGTTTTATCATTGTTTACATTCAGTAAGATAAATACACTCATTGTGTGCGAGCACACACACACACACACACACACTAACACTCTCACACTCACTCTCACACTCTCACTCTCACTCTTACACCCACACACCCACACTCTCACACCCACACACCCACACTCTCACACACACTCACACTCACACTCACACTCACACATTCTCACACTCACATATTCTCACACTCACACATTCTCACACTCACACTCATATTTATACATAGATGCATATATACCTTTATAAATCGGTAGTAGCTCTAAGGGTTTGAATCTACTGATGCATTTAACTATGACTAAGGATATTCCTTAGGTACACTTTGTTTACCATAATAGATTGGATGGTATGTCAGCTGTAGTTTATGTTAAGTGTGGCAAATAGCATTGTGCTGTGGATTTAAGTGAGTGCATTGATCATACCATATACTCATAACTTTAGGGTGCACACACTAATTTACACACACATATCCATACCTTATATTGTTTTTTTTTTTTTTTTTTTTTTATTTTTTAAAGATTTTGTGTGTGTGATGGTGGTTATTTTACAACATATGTGGCCAATAATCATTGTGCTGTGAATATAGAGAAGTGCATTTATCATATACGCTTGTCGCAGTAAAGTTGCATATGTGAACGCGTATTTACACTTGCAAAATCTGTGGTAAGTGTAGCTGCACTAGAGGACATACTGGGGATGTTGGTTGTACGTAGATGGCTTGTGAGAAATCAAGGTCACAAAAGGACTTCATTTTTGACACAATGGATAATCCTTGGATACAAAGCCTTTTCTAAGCTAGGTATAATCATGCCAATATCACATAATGTGTGTTTCAGTGCATTAAACTACTTCTTATAGTATTTAACCAACACAATGTGTAGTGTTTATAGGCAGTTGGTGTTTTGTGTTGTGAAGCTTGGATATTGTGGTGGTTTGTTAAAGTGCTGGTTTGACGAGTAAAAAATAAATTTTGTATCAAACACTGTTGGTCATTTTTTAGATTTATGTTTTTTCCCCATGCTTTTCTAATGCCAGAAAGTAACAACATTAGTTATCTTACTCAAGAATAGGGGAAGGTAAGACTGTTCCTCCCGGAAGAAAAATAAAATACCAAGAAAATGTGAAATCTTTTTTTCATAAGTACCACTCTGAATAATGTATTTAACTTGTTGGGATGAATTTGGACTCAAATTGCAAGCATACAAATTTTTTGGAATGATGTTAGTAAATATTGATTTTTTATCATGGATTATTAAATACTAGAAATTCTTGATAAGAGAAAGGATCTCACACTCTTTTTCTTGCTTCCATCTTATTAATGCATTATCAGAAATTATCATATTACTTCATAAAACCCTTACACATCCACCAATTTGAAGAAAGTAAACAAATGCACAAACTTCAGACTTATCAGACACAGCATTATAAGTAGACTTTATTTGATGGTCTCTTATTTTTATACATTTCCTTGATCAGCAGATATGATTCAAATGAAGGATTAAAAAAAAAAAAAAAATGTATTGTCAAAAGACCTTGTGTTAACCCAGGAAGGGACGAAATGTTGAAAACTTCTTTCTGTATATGAATTTGAAATTGTCTAACCCACTGGCAGTGGATAATGTCATAGCATGTCAAGCAAAAACTATCAGATGTACAGTTATAAGTTTTAAACTAATTTTTGGACAGCATGGCATATTATTTGATAGAAGTCATTGTACAGGTGTTAAAGTTTTCAATTATGAGCAGCTGAAACATTATTGGGTGAGCTGAGATAAGTTACCTCTGGAAATGTAAAATTGAATAATATGTTATAATGAATTTAGCCCTAATTGTTCATAATGTTCTCCCAGTCTGTTCCATGTTCCTATGTTTTTCCAGCTGTAAGTTGTGATGTGATTAGTCAAGTAGGTTTATAAAACCTGAATCACACAAGGATGATCACATCTTGCTTGACTATGCCTATGCCATACCACATCCTTGCTAAAGCTCTTTGGGTAAGACAAGTGGGGAAAAAAACATTGAGATATTGAGCACACTACCACACTTAACAGCATATTTTGGCCCTGTTGCCAATGGGTTAAAGGGTGCAAGCAGTTAGGGAAATATTTTAAAGTGCATCTGTGGAACACAAGGGCAACATTTGATGGGGGGCTAGGGGGGGGCAGTTACCCCCATTAAACAATGATTGCCCCTCTCAAGGTCTGACTTGACCCCCCGAGGACCACACTCCTGCATTTTTTTCCTCATTGCAAAAATTACACCATTATAGCTCTGGTCATAACCATATATATATATATACATACATACATACATACATATACATATACATATACATACATAAATATACATATACATACATAAATATACATATACATATAAATATAATTAATGTAATTTTTCGTTTTTGCTGGCAGCCATTCTGTTTGTAGTACATTACATTTAGGTGCAGATAGTGTCTTAATTATAATGAAAGAGAACAGTTTGACAATGATTTCTACTCTATTTATGGAGGAAGAATCTGCTGAAGAAAGCAAACTTTTGCTGCTAGATCCAGTAACAGAAGCCATCCATGTTTGATGAATGATATAAAAAGAATTTTAATATTTATTAATTTTCATGATTATGTTCACAAAACTATATGACAGAAAACTAACTTATTCCATCTTGCATAATTGTCTTTCAAGCATCGTGAAGCACTAGTTAAACCATGTGGATAGCATTTCTTGATCATATATTTTGGAGAAAATGCATAAGGAAGAGGAGTCATAATTTACCGTATCAGTTTGAAGATGAGCAACAACACATGTCAACTTTCTAGAGACAAAAGATAGTTATATTTGATTAAATCGTTTTCATAGTTAATTGTTACCGTAAGACTAAGTACAAGGGGTTCGGGATAGTAAGACAGTATTGTGATAATTGCACAGATAGACGGTTATCCGCAACCCTCTGCATAACAGACAACTAAGAGTGACTGGTTGAATATTAGAAAGTTTGTGGGTTGCAAAAGATGTCTGTGATATGAAAAGAATGTTGTTTGATATTTGTGATAGAAAACTTTAGCATTATTTTTTCATATAGAAGATTAAAATGATTGTTTTGATGTATTCAGTCCATTAGCCAATAGTTAATAAATGTATGAGAGATGTATTTCTTCTCTGTAATGGGATAGGAGACATACTGGGGAATTTGATGAACTGTGATCAATATTGCTAAATTGTATTGATGTATCAATGTCAGGCACATAAGTAACTATAGATAACAGGCTGCGTAAATCTTATTTTTGTGAATGAATGATCCTGGTAAGTTGTGTGAAGTTTTTGTGAATGAGTGGCCCTTTCCAGTCATATGTGGTTGTGTGAATGATCATTGTTGTTATAACCAGTGTATTAATGAATGTGAATATGTCTATTTAAATGCAAAGATACAATTTGAAATGTGCAAACTGTTTTAATTCACTTTATTTGCTTGTAGTGCATGGTAAATTATTGTGTGTCTTATCAGTCCATCTGTTTTTTTATTTCTTTTCTTTCCTTTCCTTCTAAGAATGACTTGCCAAACTTAGCATAAAAGAATGATTTATGAAAGAGTTTATTGTCTATAAGAATACAGATGACTCCTTGATGTAGTGTCTAAGTGATTTTTTCTTTATTATAGGTTCCATTATTAGTGTCATATCTAGATATCTGTATATTGTAATAAGTATGAATAATACTTCAGAATGATATCAGATTATGATATAGCTATGAAGAGAGATTGCAATGCATGACTAGACTAATTTTCTTCACTGTGTTTCTTGAATATTTATGGTTCGATGTTTATGAAATATCTGTAACTAAAACATCAACTTTTCCAATTTCATGTCAACTCTTCTGCATTAGGGAAGATAAATGTAAAACCACTTGTAAATCCTAAACGGAGTAAATCTGAAAACATTTGTAAACCAATAACAAAAAAAAGAAACATGTATTTGAAACTAAATACATTGAACTTATTCCATTAATAACTTTTATCGATTGATCCCAAAATATTTCTGTTTGTCAGCATTTTTCATGCTGGGTGATTTTGAAGCATCTGAGTTATCTTAATAATGAGATGCATGTTGAATAAAGCAAATTAAGTGTTTATACTAAAGAGAACATTTAACAATAATGTCCTGAAATCTTACAAGCACAAATACAGAACCAGTATCTTCAATCTTGATACCGTTAACATGTTGGTATGGGAGCTACACTTTGTAATGCTGTTTGTTGTGAGGATATGACAAGGAATTCAGATTAATATAATGGATGTATGCCTTTCACATGCACATCCCCTCAGAACCAAAGTTATATCCAGCATGTTTTATACATGTATCTGTTTATAAAATAACTGACAAATCAAATTATATTTCCAAATGATGAGGATTTACAAAAATCACAAGATTTCTGTCAGTATTACTGATGTCGTCTGCATAATTTAAGACTATGTTGAGGGAAATAGATTTCGACAAATGATCTGAAACATCAATTTAAAACGAAATTTAAGGGGATCGTCTAAGGAGAAGACGACGAAAAAGATGAAAAAAAAAAAAAAAAAAAAAATTATAGCCCATGTCTGGAACACTGTCTCCCCAGTACAAATTAAACCAAAATATGAAAACAATAAAAGGAATCAATGATTAGCAAAGTGCTTAATGCAAAGATTTTTCATTCTTCTTTGCAGTAGAGTATTGAACAATGAATAAATGAAAAAAATGAGTCACAAAGATGTTAGATGTCATCATTAAAACTGCCTTTACTCAAATTTTAAATCAAATAGACTGAAGCTTTTGGATCAAGTGACAAGATATTTACACATGCACAACTGTCTGTCTATCTATGTTTAATTTTTTTTCCACTGCATAGGCTTTTCGTGCAATAATTCAGAATGGCCATTTGGATTTTAGGTGAATGCTTAGATTTTGCAAAATGGTACATTAGTTATAAAATTATGCTTAACTGCTTATGAACATTGCAATTTATTTCCTTTTATATTAACCATTTTTCTCACTAATATGGGTGTATCACTGGATTTGCAGGAATCCTTAGCCCCGGGACTTTCAGATGATACATTTTACCAACACGTTGCATAATAATATAATTCAATAATACTTTCCTGATCCTCAAATTATGCTTCTTCCATATCTTTGAAGGATCAACTACAATTAAAAGACTTGAATGGGAGCCTAAGGACAATGGGTTGGTGGGTCAGAATATGACTGATATTCCTGTGCCACTGTTTGCTGTAAAACTGGTGTGTCTGCACTAATGTTATTCATGTTCCTTAATTATTGATAATGAATTAGTATATATAAATATCTGCATAAGGAACAATCATAATGTAAATGTTATAACTTTATTTAAATACCTGAAAATTATTGAAATTAATAAATAATATCAAATATCTTTATGCTTAGCTACACATCAGTATTTGGTAAGGTTAAAATATCTATATTTTGTCATATTTGAAAATGCATTATTCTCTTTGAGCTAGGTTACCACGCTAACATTATAATGCAAAATTATGAGCAGTCATATTGTGCCATTAGTTTTGGAGACATCATTGTCGACCACAAAATTTCAGAACATTTAGCTCTATTCTCATTGCTATATTAAATTTTTCTGATATTCTAATTTACATATCTATAGACCTGCACAAAAATTGATTTTTAGAAAGGACAAAGGAAGATTCTTGCACTCAAGACTTCATGTGTACAGTACAAATATTAGTGCAATTATGAA